AGGCGCCGAATTTCCCCTCCGGCGCGTGGTGCTTGCCTGCCCAGGTGAGGTCTGGCGGCGCCGCAGATGCGCTGTAAGTGCGGCCCTTGGGGGTTGCACAGCTGGCAAACGTCGAGCATAGGGGCCCAGACTGCGGTTTCGTCAGCCGGGGCGACGGGGGGCTGCCCTTCATGCCAGTCATCATCAGCTTCGTCGTCGCTCTGAACGTCGGTGTCGGGGACAACGATACCCTGGGCAATGAGTCTGGCGGCCTCCTCCGCACCCAGGGGGGCGCAGTCCAAATTCACGCAATACCTGAAGGAGATCTGGTGCACAAGCCGACAGACTAACCTCTGATGCTGACCCCGAGTGCACATCGCCGAGGCCAGGTCCCTGGGATGGCCCGGGGCCCTGGTTCTTTCCCAGGCCAGGGCGGCCGCGGGGCACCAGCGCCGCACGTGCTCGGTTGCGGCCTCTCCAAGGCCGCAGAGTGGACAGACACCGTAGAGCCCTTGCCGCATAGGGACCTGGTTGCTTACGTGGCGTCTTCTACGCTCGGCCGCTAAGGCGCGAAGGTCTTCGGGGAGGGCGCCATCGTCCAGAAGGGGCCAGAGCGCGGCCTCACCCGACCAGGTCCTAAGGCAGGTGTCACACAAGGCCTGTCCATCGTCTCGCTGTCCCGCAGTAAGCCAAGCTCTCTTGGCGGGTCTACCGCAGCTGCGCTGGTGGGGGATCCTGTCGGCAACGCCTCGCCGTCGTGCGGAGCCGGGCAGGCCGTTGGCCAGAAGCCGGAGGACGTGGTGCGCCTCGGTCAAGGATGCACAGCGTTGCAGAAGGGACCATTCAGCGCCATCTGTCTGTGCCCACCTGCGTTCGTCACTGGCTGCGGCGAACAATTTGTCCACGATGTGCCCATGTAGCTGCGACCAAGCCGCGACGTAGACCACCCGACCGAAGTAGCGAGCCCGCAATCGGGCAGGCCCCCTTATCGCTCGGTTGAACAGGTCGGCTGCCCTGGAGTCAGTCAGAACCTTGGAGCCGGGTCTGAAGGGACCTTGCCGTGGCGGAAATTCCCGGGCCCAATTCCCGAGTTTGTTCCACCTCCTTCCGGCCTTCTGTCGTGACTGAGCGGGCCCCACAGGTCATCAAGGACGTGGGCTCTGGCTGCAATCGCGCGCGCGGTGGCGACAGGGCACTTGGGGCAGCCAGGGGCCTGAAACCGGATGCTCAGGCCAGTGAGAATGTTGTCGGGAATCCACGAGGCCGAGGCCAAGCCGAGAGCAACCCTAAGGTGAGCACGCAGTGCCCTCTCCTGAACGGAGTCGGGGAGAGAGTATGTGCGAGGGGTAGGGGATGAGCGCAATCAGATATGTACTCCAGGCGAGGGCGGTCTCGTTCGGCGACATGTTGGCCAAGTGTAGGCCCATGGCTCTGTCCCGGAGTTTGGGAAGCGGTTGGCCCGAGGCGCCAGCGACGAGGGTATCGAGTTGTCCTCGGGCCACGGCGCCCCCGGGCGGTAAAGCCCCTCCTTCGGCCGCCTGAGATACGACGCAGGCGCCGAGGTAGGGCCACTGGGGCATCGCAGCGGATGCGCCGCAGGGAGTGTAATCCATGGCACGTCTCCACCACTCATGGTTGCTGGCTGGGACCAGGGCAGTTTTGAAATTGCACATGCAAGGGCAGGACCATGGGGTACACTGAGCGGCGGTGTCTGGTCCTCCGACCCGGCTGATCATGTCCAATATGAGTGTATCCGGAAGGCCGGTGACCCTCATCGTGGCGCCATTGTCAGTGAAATCCACGGGGGCAGTGGCCAGGAGTTGCCTGACGTTGATCCTGCTCGGTGCCTCGACTCCTCTGCACTTGTGGGCCTCAACCAGGAGTCCCGCAGCCTTTGCAAGCCACGGCAGAGCAATGCCAACGCGGAGTGCTTGAGCTGCGGCGCCTAACAACGCAGCCAGGTCGTCCACGTACGTCGGGTCGTCCGACCCCGTGATGTTTTCAAGGGCGCAGATGAGGGGGTCGTAGCCCAGCGGGGAGGCAGTGCCCCCCATTCCGATGGAGCGAAGGAGTCTCCTTATCCTGCTCTTATACTTTCCTCTGCAGGTGCGCACATTTCTGCAGCTGACCAGGGCGTCCACTGAGTGAAGAAGCCAGCTGGGGAGTTGCCATCGATCCGTCAACTGCCCCATCCACTGCAGGGATCTGCCCCATCCACTGCAGGGATATACGCTCAAAGGCTTTGTTTTGGTCGCAGAAGAGGACGGCCGTGCTGGGGGCTGGGCCCAGGGATTGAACAGCGTCTTGTATGTACTGGTCCACGGCCGCCTGGTGCTCGCCTAGCAGGGCTGCCCTTATTGGCCCAGGTTCGGTGTCGGGCGCCGGGTCCAGGGCAAGGTGGTTAGTGGCAGCTGTGATGTTGGGACCACACTGTCCCCCTCGCTTGGCCGCTTGATTAGGGCTGAGTCTGGGCTCGATCACTGGACCTAGCTGGTCAGCAATGGTCGCACCGTGCAGTCTCTGTAGGCAGGTGGGGAGCTGCAAGGGTCGCATGTCGTTTGGCATTTCGGCAGCGGTCTTTTTGCCAATCCAGACTAGCAAATCGATGGAAGGGCCTAGGACCAGGTCAATCAGATCCGGGTTCAGATCAGCAGCGTACCAGGCCTGCGCGAGCAGGCAGGCGACGAAGCGGGCCCCAGGGTGGTACAGTTCATACGGTTCCCCATCCACCCCAGGAGCACTACCGCTTGGGCCCAGGACGAGAGAGGCAATCCTGCCCCACTGCGGGTTGGGGGAGTCCGGGAACTGCCCGAGTTCTTTGTGCCGGAAATATTCGTCGAGGATTCGGTCCGCGGCTGGGGGAAGGGGGGGAGCAGTTTGCCAAATATGGCTACGGATCCGCCAGAGGACGTCGTCGACTTCCTTCGTACGCTCATTCCATCTCCCATCAGTGTCACGCACACCAAAAATGGCATGCGTTTTGACGAAGATCTCTCGGCCCGTGCGGTAGTGCGAGGCGAGGGCGGGGCGCTCGACGCCGGGGCCCCTCTGTGCGGGGGTGAGCCGGGCCGCCCGCCTCTGAGCGGTGTCATTGTCCCACTTTCTCAACCAGGTGGCGGCCTGTTGGGGGTCAGGTCGTTGCCGTCCCAATCGTACTCGGCCAGCCAGGCCGCAAGTACCCCCACAGGGCGTGTGCTGGGTTCGGATCTCGCCGCTGCAGCGAGGAGAGTACCCGGAGAGCGGTTGGTCTTGTTCCTGCGCCACTTCCTCCACCAGTCCTGGATGGCCGCCGACATGGCGTGACGACCAAGAGTGAGTAGTGCAGGGAAGAGGGGGACAGTGTGGTCGTCAACCTGGGGAGGGGGCGGAGGCGGAGCTGAAGGCTCCTGCTCCATTTCTCCTTCACCATCGTAGTTGTCCCTGCTTCTCGCTGGGAATTGGCCCGGGGCCGCCGGGCGGACCCAGTCGGCGGGCTGCAGGAGCCCGGTCAGGTCAACGTCGGGCAGTCCGAAGGTACGCTCGAGGAACGTGTAGATGGTTCTTAGCTCTGTGTGCGCCTCGTCCGGCAGAAGGCGCAAGTCACCAGCCAGTGTGGTGTTGTCTCTGCGTGTTCTGGGGGCGCCCTGAGGTTCCAGGTACATGATGGCGTGGTCCGAAACGGACGGTTTCCATGCCTTCCTGACTCCATATGCCCCAAGCTGTCGGTAAGGACAAGCGACGATATCAATTTGCGACTCGTTGTCTGCGTCGACCCTAGTGGGGCCGTCGCAGTGGCAGATGCAAGATCCTGTCTGGGCGAGCAGATCGGTGAGAGCCGCGGCATCGTCGGTTTCGCCTTCCCTGGGGTTGTCAACCTGTATGTTCACGTCACCGCCCCAGTAGGTGGGGGTGTCATCCCATCTCTCGATGGCCTGGCGGATGGCATCTATGGTTTCGGTCTTCCTAGACGGGTCAAAAATGTTGTGTATTATTCGCGATACCGTCCGTGACTGTCCCCCCCCTGGTCACGTCACGATTCGCGCCGGCCCCGGCGCCCTGGCCCTGGCCCCCGGCCCCTGGCCCTCTGCCGTGGCCACGCCCGTGGCCCCAGCCTCGGCCTCGGACCCAGCCCTGGCCCCAGCCGCGGCCCCAGCCCAAGCCCCAACAGAGCCCAACATGCTCCCAAGAGAGCCCTTAGAAAGGCTTCAGAGCGTCAGCGTCGTCGTCGCCGCTGCCGCCGCCGCCGCCGTCGTCGTGGCCGTCCCCCTTGAGGGTCGGCGGCACGGGCCGCTACCCAATATTCCGATCACACAAACAAATCCCTGGACAGCCCCCCAAACAACCCGGACAACCCACGCTGATGAATGACGACTAGACGACCTACCCCGGACAACCCCTTGGACAACCCAGCGGGGATCCGGACAATCACTCTGGACACCCCCCTTTGGCCAAGCCTCCCCCAGATCTTTCTTCATCAGATTTGGTAAGCATCCCCAGAAGGCGCCAACACGAATCACGACGTGACTGGCAACTCCCCCATCCCCACCCCCCTCCCGCTTCCAGGAGCCAGCCCAGGGCCCAGGGGGAACGGGCGGCTTGGGAGACGGCGCAGGCCTGCTCAGCTTGGCTCGACTTGCTGAGCTCGGCCGCTGCCACCACCTCCCTTCCTTGTCTACTCTACGATATCTTGTCCTGCGCAAAGAGCTCACATCGAAAACGGCATTGACCCATTCCGTCGTTGAGCGAGTGAGAAAGCCTCCCCCCGGTCACGCCCATGATCGCCAGGCAATCCGCTGACCCAGTCGGCGTGTGTGAGACACTGTCGTCGTCGTCGTCGTCGTCGTCGTCGTCGTCGTCGTCGTCGTCGTCACCACCCGCCCCATGTCCCGAGCTTGCGGCAGGGTCATCAGCTCGTTGTTGTCGTTGTCGTCGTGGTCGTCGTCGTGGTCGTCGTCGTCATCCTCCTGGGTCGGCGGCGCCAGAATGCTTTCAGAAACGCTCTCGAAGTCGATCGGAGAAAAGTCGCCGAGCCCTCGGGAAGCCTGCGCCGCGAGCGCCCTCTGCGTCGCACCAGCGGCCGCCAGGACGCCCTGCTGCAGCAGCGGGGCCAGGGCCTGACATTCGAGGATCAACGAGAAGGGGTGACCGGCTCGGGAGGAATGGTGGGGACCCAAAGGTTCGAGGTTCGAAATTCGAGGCCCGAGGTTTTCGGACCTTTTCGTCGGCTCTCGGCAGTTTTCCAGCATCGGGATGCGTTCCAGCGGCTGCGCCTCGCCGAAGGCACTCTGGGGGTGTCCGGATCGTCCCGAACGGCCACCGGAGGCTGGAGCTATGACCCGAAAACCACCAGGTGATGGGCTCAGGGGGCGAAACACCGACTTGGAATCGGCGATACATAGCCGATGGATCGGCGATAGGCCCACGATGACGAATCCGCACAATCCTGGGTGGGGTGGGGATGCCAGACCCCTATCGGCGATAAATGGGCGATTGGGGTCATGCATCCTCCCATGAGCCTATCTACCCCTCCCCCATCATTGCACCAGAGACATCCGCCGATGTGAATAGTGTTGCACCCGGCGGCCCTAGAGGAGATCCCGACCGCCTCCTCAGGGTTGCGTGAAAATCGTCCCCTAACAAAAACAAGACTGCCCCAGTAGCACACAAGCTGACAACTCCGTCGCCACACATACATATATATACACATATATGTATGCCTAGGTGTCTGTATGCATGCATGCATGTATGTATGCATGAGTGCATGTATGTGTATGTGTACGTGTAAGTGTATGTGTATGTGTAAGTGTAAATGTACATGTGTGTATGTGTATGTGTATGTGTATGTGTATGTGTATGTGTATGTGTATGTGTATATGCATGAACTTCGGTACATGTACGTCGTACGTAGTTGCGTATGCATGCATGCATGCATGCATGCATGCATGCATGCATGCATGCATGTGTGTATGTATGTACGTATGTATGTATGCATGTCTGGATGTATGCATGCATGTATGTTTGTTTGTATGTATATGCACATGTACATGTACATGTACATGCACATGTATATGTATATGTATATGTACATGTATACCTATATATGTATGTAAATATGTATACGTACATGTATACATATCCGTATATGTATATGTGAGAGAGCGTGATCCACCGCCGCTTTACTCTGGAAAATTGCCGCCCTCTTCCTCCGGAACCCGGGGGTCCCCCCCCCCTCCGAAAATCCCCCCCCCCCTGCTGGACCCCCCCCCCTCCCCCGGCAAAACCCCCCCCTACCCTACCCCCCCCCCCCCCTCCTCGCCCTCGAAAACCGGGGGGGTCACTACCGGTTCGAACCCCCCCCCCCCCCCCTCGAAAACCGGAGGGGGGTCACTACGGTTCGAACCCCTCCCCACCACCCCTACTCACCGCCAGCAAACGACTCCCGGTCCCTACCACCGTCCGCACCACATCCCCTACTGTTGTTCCCAGCACCGCTGCCCTCACCACCACCGTCCCTACTGTCCCCACCAGTGCCCCCATCACTGTCGCACTGTCCCCAGTCCCTACCACTGTTCCCACCACGGTTCCACTCTCCCCACTTTCTCCACGGCCCCAACCACTGCCCCGTTTATCCCCACTGTCCCCACTGTCCCACTGACTCCTCCGCTGTTCCACTGAGCTGTCCCACTGTTCCCACCACTGTCCCCACTGTCCCCACCACTGTCCCCCCCACTGTACCTCTGTCCCATTGTCCCACCGCCGTCCTCGCCACCGCCTTCACCACTGTCCCCACCACCACTGTACCCTCCACTGTCCCACTGTTTCCACCTCATTCCCACTGTCCCCACACCACTGTCCCCACCACCACCGTCCCCCCCACCACTGTCCACTGTCCCCACTGTTCCCACCATTGTCCTCACCACTGTCCCCACCACTACCGTCCCCACCACTGTCCCACTGTCCCCACCACTGTCCCGCTGTCCCCTCACCACTGTCCCCACCACCACCGTCCCCACCACTGTCCGCACCCTCCCCCTCGGTTTTCGAGGGGGGGGGAAGGGTTCGAACAGGTAGTGACCCCCCCCCGGTTTTCGAGGGGGGGGGGGCGGGTTCGAACCGGTAGTGACCCCCCCCCTTTTCATGATGAACCGCCAGCAGCGGGAGAGCACGCTCTTTCGTATATGTAAATGTATGTGTACCTGCACCTTTAAACTTATGCAGCTAGATATGAGTACGACTACCTTTGTGTGTATGCATATAAATATATGCATACACACATGCTGTTGAGCCACGTCTACATCGCAGAGCGGGGGGGGGGGGCTCGGAAGGGGCCTGCCGCTCCAGGACAAAACCTGTGCCCGATCTCTGGCCGCCGCGATCGCCGTGGCGGGGGGGTAACCTTCGCACCTGCTCCGTTTTTCCGACGGCCCCGGGGCCCGACAACCGGGCCCCCCGGGAGCCGAAGCCAGAGGAACAGCGCCCGGACGGAAGAAAACACACCGCCAAGGACAGCAGCTTTCGGTTCGCGCGTCGGGCCCCCGGCGGCCGCTCAGGACCACCTGGGCACCCCCCCAGAGCCCCCTCGCCGAGGCGTGGTTCGCTCCACACCGAGGCGAGAAGTCCGACAAGAGAGACACCACACAACTGTCGAGCACTCTCTGGACAACCGCAGGACACCGTCGAGATCTGCTGAGATCTGGGCCTCGAAGGACTCGGGCGCCACGTGGTCGCCGGCGCCGGCGCCGGAGGCCCCCAGCGCCGCCAACACGCGTGCTGGCGCTGCCTCGCTCAGCGCTGGGGCGCCGCGGGCTTTTGCCAGCGCCTGCAGCGCCCGCGCGAAGGACGCTGCCCGCCCGCCTCTGGCCAGGAGTGCGCTGGCCAGCAGTGCGTCGAGCGTGTCCTCACGGGGGGTACCAACCTGGACATGCTCGCGTCGTGAGAAGCACGACTCAAGGCTTTCGGCCGGCCTCGATCTCTGCGTCGGTTTTTGCAGGTCCCAGGGCTCGGCGACGCCGAGCCCTGGGACCTGCAAAAACCGACCCAGGATGAAACACCGGCCTTGGGATAAGGGTCGAGACTTCCCGGGGCCCCGCACTGAAAACATCAGGATGTCGCCTGTCTGGGCCTGAGATCCTCTGGCGCTGCAATCTGTCACGCAGGGCGCTTTCGTCCGGCTTCGGGCGCCGGGACCATCACGGATCGAGCCGGCCGTGAAAGCGCTACAGAACGACGGGGTCTGGTGCTCCGTCTGTGAGATCTCGCAGCATGAGATCCCATGGTGTACTGGCGTACCGATGCCGCTGCTCCACGGGCCTCTCTCGGGGTGCGCTCTGACTAAGAGATTCTAAGCGAATCCAGCCACTGTCGCGCTCGCGTCGTGAACCCAAACGAAAACAAAAAACGACGGGGGTCCTTCGCCATGTTCGGCCTTCGGGGCCCTCGCCAGGCCCCAGGACCTCAACTGAAACCGATTACAGGATGGAAGGCTTTTGCGGGGGAGTGGTGGGGTACAGTGGGGGCTCGACCACGAGAAACCTTTCACAAGAAACCCAACCCTGAGACCCCAGGGCGTCCATCGATTTTTGGTGCGGGAACGTCGCGCTCTCCATCGCAAAACAGGGCACCCTGGAGGCGAGCAGCGTGTTTCTTGGCACGGGGACCCACTGCAACACATCCCTCTGGTGGTCCAAGCTGCGAACAGGAACACGACGTCGGGGGTCTGGGGATACCAGCACCCGCGCTCCTACGCCTCTCCTGGGGCGCGCTCTGATCAGGGTTTCGGAGCGACTCTGCGGTCGTGGCGAGGAGGCCCTCCCAGGAGGCCCAGCAACGGCGACGACGAGGCAATGGTAGCAATGTCGGTGCGGCGAGTTCGTGTCGTGTCGACCCTGCTTTGGTTTCTGACATCGCGTGGATTGTTCAACCTTGAACGATCGGCGGTTTTCGATCGCCCGATCGTTCCATGTTGGCCGATTCTGGGCCATTGTCGGCGTTCAACCTCGAACGCAGGCGGGGGAAACGCCGCCGCGTCGACACGACACGAACCCGCTGTATCCTCCTGTATCCATTCCTCCGCCATTCCACCTCCTCCACCTCCACCTCCACCTCCACCTCTACCTCCACCTCCTCCATTCCTTTTCCTTATAAACACCTTCTCCCTGTCGCACCCCGAGGCTAGTTTTGAGGGCGGGTCGGGCGTTTCGCCTGAGACTTCCTCACCATTTATGACCCTGAAGCTTAAATATTGGCAGGCAACCATTTCGCATATGGAGGGCGGGCCATTTTCGAAATGTGGCTCTCGCCTCAGCGCCGCGCACATTTGTTTTCAACATGCGCAACAGTTTCACGGATTGAGGGCGGGTCGTTTTCAAAAAGTGGCTCTCGCCTTAGCGCCACGCCCATTCGTTTTAAACATTTGCAAGAACTTCACGGAGTGAGGGCGGGTGGTTGTCAAACTGTGTTTCTCGCCTTAGCGCCACGCACATTCAGTTTTTATAGTTGCAATAATTTCGCGGATTGAGGGCGGTTCCTTTTGAACATGTGGCTCTCGCCTTAGCGCCGCGCACATTCGTTTTTAATTGTTGCAAGAATTTCACGGATTCCCATGACCAACCTACCAGGCATTGCGCTTCGGAAAGATTCAGGATTATGAGGGTGCAAGAATTACGTTGGTTCGCGGTGTTGAAGTCCCAACAATGACGTCCTGGCATGATTCAGGATCGTCACGTGGCAACAGTCAAGTTGCTGGAATCCCGAGCACATTGTTTTGGCATGCTTCAGAGTCTTCAAACGGCTGTCTTCTAACGAGGCAGTTCCCTCAGTGGACATGAACCGATGTAGGGGCCTATGAAGAGGGGGCTTGGAGGGAGGGTTTATTCCAACATCGTTGACGGCTCTTGGGTTGACACTGGTCCTCCTCCTCCTCCTCCTCCTCCTCCTCCTCTATCCTCCCCTGGGGTAGCTTTCTCTCCCTCTTCCTGCCGCCGTCCCGTACCTGCGGGGCACGTCGACCAGGCAGCGAAGTGGGGAGCGGACGAGCCCCAGG